ATAATATAATATAATATAATATAATATAATATAATATAATGTAATATAATATAATTTAATATAAAAATGCCAATCATCGGGTTAGCCAATTCCAGGGTATCGCATTATTGTCTGCACGCAACTGTAGCATAAGTACTTATTCTCTTAAACCCTATCAACTGAGGCTACGGCACTTGCCTATATATGTATAGCGTGTGCACACAGACACTCACACATAGCTAGCGTCGCATGGTTTAATCTGGAAGATCTCTTCCCAGTGCTTCAATTAATGTTTATGGTATTCGCAACCCATATAAGCGCCACGCCTTCCAGTTGGTCGCCCAACAACCAGTCAGCCAGCATGGCTGGAGCATAAAGAACGAGAAGAGCGAACAGCAACAGCAATTGGCTTCAGTGAACGCCCGTTTAGAACTGATTTAATTGCAATTGTGCGCCGGCATTGCCGACATGCAATTGTTATCAAATGCACATCGTCACCCTGCACTGGGTGGAATAGTGTTGGGAGGTGGGATCGAAGATGCGGGCTAATCCATGGCCATGCTGCATCGAGCTGTTAATTAACAAGTGTAATTGATAATGCAACCGCAGTGGAGGCAGAGGAGAGGGATGAGGCAGAGCAGGCGGCAACAGCAGCAGCAGCAGCAGCCGAGAGGCGCTTCAATGGCTTTGGCAGTTGGTTGCACTTCTGATTAATCACACCAATTGCCAAGTGGCTGCAGGCAAACAGATGTCAATAAACCATGCCACTCTATGGCACACATTCGTAGACAACAACAAAAACAACAACAACAACATTGTGGTGAGTGAGCGAGCGACTGCATGTGTGACAAGTGGAAATGGTTGCTCTTCTTCTTCTCTCTGGAGCAGCAGACAGTGTGTTTATTTTTAAGCAAGCAACAAACATATTTTTAAAGAGTCACAAGAGCAATTTCAAGACGAGCAGAGAACTCAGAGAGTGAGCGAGAGATACAGAGAGAGCAAGGGAGAGCAACGTTTGACATTTATTTCGCATGACATTTCACACACGCACACTCACACACACAAATTTAAAAAACACTCATGCGCCTAGTTATCCAGTAAAATTGTCTCAAATGCCATTTGCAATTTGGTTGCCCACATTTCGTTGTTGTTTTTGTTTTCTTTTTTGTTTGTTTATTTTTGTTTAGGCAATTGTTTTTTCTTTTTTTTTCTTCTTTCTTTTCCGCTTGCTCTCTCTCTCAGGCGCATCGGCCACCTCGCGCCCTGCGCCGCCTCGCGAGTCGCATGAGTCTGTCGCGCATGTCGTCTCGTCTCCTCCGGGGGTGTGTGCCGCCGCTCTTCAGCTCTTCCCAGCCACAAAATTTCTTGCTGTTCAGTTTCAAAATTGCCGGCGGTCAGCGCATTTATTCTAGTCGAGCTGCTCTCGATAGGACAAAATCTGTAAAGAAAAAAAAAAACGGAGAAAAACGTGAATCGTTCGCGAGATTCGCTGCGCCTTCTATGCTGCTCTATTTTTGTGGTTTTTGATTTGAATGGACGAATTGTTGGCCAAGTTTGTGTAAAAATGAGTGAACATTAAAGCAAGCATATAGATTATGCATATATATGTATATGAAATGCAATCAAACAATTAGTGGGCAATTCTTAGATTTACCAAAAATCATGAGAACATACTTTGAGAAATATCTATATAAATATATGTGTGAAGTCTGATTTGTTGTAATGTAATATGAATGCATTTCATATGGTGCTCAATTGCCTCAACTATGGATATGTGCAAAATGCGGAAATATATAATATATGTATTTAAATACTGCATTTTATGTAATGGAATGAAAGCCTTAAAATTGCGTCATCTATATAAATAAGTATACAAAATGTGGAACATAGAATCTGCTCTTTGGATTTCCAGCTGAACATTGTTCATAATAATAATTTCAAAGAAAATATATATAGAAGATTTCCCCGTCAAATAAGCATTAATTTTTTAGTGTATAGGGTGAAGAAAGATTCGATCACTTGACTAAGACTTTTTATTCGATTCACTCAAGATTCAATCCAGCAAAGTATACTGAAAAACTGTAATAGATTCTCATTTAATTAACTTCTTCTGCTCTTCCTATCAATTGAATCGATTATTTCGCTTCACTTTGATGACAATTTGATTGAGTGTTTATCAATACGTGATGTTTACATACATTTCTCCACTTTATGCGCTTAACGCTCTTCCTTTGACGCTCCACTTTTATTCATTACTCATTGTTTATAATGGCAAAATTTAATTGCATTCAATACACGCTTATGAAATGTACCTTTCAAGCATTACTTAATACTCTCATGGCATTATTAATGCGGTTCCAACTCTTTTCCGGCCTGCAACTGTTTCCCTTGTTCCGCTTGTTCCCGTCTTTAGTGATTCCTTTTCTTTATGTACAGTTTTACATTAATCAAGCCCATTTGCCAATATGCTGCTCTATTCATTTGCGCAAATTTTAAAATAATTGCGACAATAAAATCACCATAAACACACAAAACAACAACAGCAACAAGAGCAACAACAATCCCTTGTAATCTTGCCATATCCGGCTGGCTGCGTGTCTCCCATGTCGCCTGTCTGCCAACACCATCTGCCGCTATGCCAGTACGCCGCACCGTCACTGCATTTACCCAGTGCCTGCGTTCTGGCGCTGTGGCTCGCTGTCACTGGCGGCGCTTTTTGCATCATCATTATTATGAAAAAAAAAAAAAAGAAGGAAAACTCTTTGCAATGTTGATGATGGCCGTGCTCTGTCCGTTCACTCCCAAGTGGATAGGGCGATCCGGCGGCGAACCCGGAGCTGAAAGCCGGAGACGAAGCTGGCTGACTGCGCTTGGTTCGTGTGGCTCGTTTTGTCGTTTGACATCTTAATTGCTTTGTTGATGGATTTCACTGTTGACACTTTTGCTTTCCTATAAATTCTTAATGAACTCTGCCTCGGTTCAAATGCATTTCCCAGTTACCATTTAGCACGTTGTTTGTGGGCTTAACAGGAGCTTTAACTTTAAGCCTTAAAGACCAAAAATATAAATATGCATTTAATTTGTGCGAGCTTTGATTTAGAAAATTAAAAGGTTTTCGAATCAAAGAGCTCTAAAAATCCTGGAATCTGAAATTAAATGAATTTCAATTGTCAAAAAGAGAAATTTATTCCATAATAAGTCCAATTGAGGACTCTATCAACAGATTCTTGATTTTTCATATTATGGAACATTTATATTATAATCTGTGTTACTTATATGAAACTAAATTATTTATCTCAATTCATTTATATTAATCGAATTATCAAAGCAGTCACACTCTCAAATTTTAATTGAATCAAATTTTAAATCCTTGCTATTAATGACTTAAGCCAAGCTATAAAACAAAATCATATTTTGTGGGGGAATAGAAGATAATGGAAACTAATTGATCTCAAAGTGGAATAACCTTAAGTATTGGGATTCTTATATATAAAATTCACTTCATTTTTATTCCATTAAAGTTAGACGATAGACGAGAGGAGAGGAATCCACTAATTCAATAAAAAGTCCTCTACGAATTTATAAGAATTAAAAATAAAAATTAAATCAAATTGTTAACTTTCAATTTTCAATAAAAATTACCTTAAATATTTCTCTCTTTTTACGAAGACCGCTTGTCATTGCCCAGCACTTTACTAAATATATCTCTGCATCGAACAATTAGTGTCGTCTGGCTAAAGTTGAACTTTGATTTGGTAAATGCAGGTTATTTTCTCGTCCCATTCGAGGAGGGGGAGTTTATGAGCTGGCTACCTGTAGCCTTCTCAGACAGTTAAACATCTCAACTAGGCTAGGCAATTGCTGTGCGCTTCCGTTCGGCACCTCATTAAGGCAACTTTTCGAGCACAAAACGACTTTTAATTGCGCCCACTGGACAGAGTTTTTGACTAGACTAGAATAGAATAGAGCGAAGCTCTGTGGCAGCTGGGAAAGAGCTTAGGGGTAGAGCAGAAGCATGACACATGATGAATGCGTGGGCCAGTCTCAGTCTCCCTCTCTCTCGCTCTCTCTTTTAGTAGTTTAAAGTCAGTCGAGCACGAAATGTGTCGGAACAAGCTTGTAGAGTAATTACGTACATGTGTACGAAAACAACGTGAAATTGTCATTTAACATTTGTCAAAGGTAGCAACACGGAAAATACAAAGAAACAAGAACAATCCGAGTCCAATGGAAAAGCAAAAAAAATCGTGAACTAATTAAAAATCTGTGAAAGACAATAACAAAATAAAAGTTTGCCGATGAGAGAGACGAAACGTGTGATAAAAGTGCCAAAAAAATTGTAAACTATTTGAGAGGAATGTCTCAGATCGATTATACCTGCTATACGGTGCCGGAGTGCTCCAGCGATGATGATGATGATGATCCGGATGATAATGATGTGGTGCATCGAAATGGTAATGGAAATGGCAATGGCATTGCTAATGGCCATTGTAATGGCAATGGTAATAGTAATGATGATGACAGAGATGAGTCGAGCGATGGCACGCTCGAGAATGTTTTGCAGTCAGATTGCACGCTGGATTCGGATGCCACAACCACATCCTCCTTGGAGCACCACATCTATCGCAAGCACCAGCAGCAGCACCAGCAGCACCACTACCACAACCACCAGCGGTACAAACGCTATGCACCACAGCGCGTTTCGATGCCAGCTCTGCGTGCCGCGGGCAGCCACTCCAGGGAGCTGACACCGCAGCTGGGCATCTATCATGATGGGCCAGAGGCGGCACCACAGTGGGGCTATTTTGTGCCATTGGCGCCCAACTGCTTCTTCAGTCCGCCCATGCAGCGGCGTCATTTTAGGTGGGCCGTGTCCTCAGCTCAGCCTCACGAAATACTCTCGTTCATAATCTAACAAAATGCTTTTCGTTTTCTCATTGCAGAGAGAAGGAGAACGATCGCAGCCGTCGTGCGGTTAGCTATGGCGGCGGCGGCGGCAACTCGCCGACCCACTGTGCCACCATACCGCGTGCAGCACCGCGTCGTGTGGCGCTCATGAAGGAGCCACCGCCGCCGCCGCCGCCCAAGCCCCAGCTAACGTCGAAGGCATCGCTGCAGTCCACAGACTCCTCGCATGCGTCCAGCATCATAGCCAGCAAGTATCCGCAGTCTGAGTACAATCTCATCCAGAAGATCGACTCGAACAGCACGCTGACTGCACCGGCTCAGTACCAGCCGCAGAATTTCTATGCCAACACCGGCACCATATCCTCCACCAACGGTGGCTATTCGTCCCTGCTGTGCCATGCCAGCTCCACGGCCAGTCCGTTGGCGGTGCGGAAGCGGGACAAGCTGCTCCATCGCTTCAGCGATGCGGCCACATTGGGTCGCAAGCTCAAGAAGAAGAAGAACACGAATCGCACCTGCCGCTCCATGACCGAAGCCATTGAGATGCTCGCCGATCCGGTCATCGAGGATGAGTTTTTTGTAAGTAAACGAAGCCATTTCTTATCAAATTTCTAGATACACAAGCATATGTATATGTACATAATATGTATGTATGCTGTAAATAAGTTAGAAAATAGATCGCATCCATGTGAATGCCTTATTGCTGTACTTTAATTAATATAAAAATATCGTATGCTCTAGGATAAACATCGCACTGTTTCTACAAATACGTGCAAATGTCATATGAGTGAAGTTATGATTGAATTAGGATAAATTCGATATGAGAAATATAGTTAATATTCCATAAAAGACATGAGATACAAGTGTTAATATAATGTTATCATAATATTCTATAATATATAAATTTGGAAGAAATTCATTGGAATATAAAAGATTCATTATCCAGTCTCTGAGTATGTTCATACTATATACAAAGTCAACTCACTAAGCTGATATCCTTTAAGAAAAAAATACTTAGGAGGAAAAGAGAAGATATAGGAAAAATAAAAAACTCAGCTAAACAATTTGTATTTTATTGGAAATTACAATTTTTGCTGAAAACTTTATTGGCATTAAGAGATAAAGCAGGCAAGCGATAAAGAAACACATCTTATGCTTACTATTCATAAGATATCCAATAAAAAACTGAAGTTAAACCGAGTCTTACAAAGACTTGGGGATTTATTATATGTAAGGCATATCTGAATTGCATTTACAAGCAGCGCCCAATGAAAAGCCATTGTCGCCCTATCTTACTCTCTCTTTATTCTCTGCTATAAAGGGGGTGTATCTGTATAAAAAATATATACATATACTCTATAGAAGCTCACGTTCTTTACACAAACAAATCCCAATTGTTATCGCAATTCATTTGGTTCATTATTTTGTGTGGCTTTTGTGACTGGAAGTTATCTCTCGGTTTATCTTTGAAATGAGTGACCATTGGAATAACTTCGGCCGTAGATTGCTTCTCAAATGCAGGCATTCATTACAAGTTTGTTAGTCGGGGCGTATCGAGCGACTATTCTATTTCTATCTAGCGTGGACGGAAGTATAAAGCTAAAATCAAAGTTACTTAAAAGGTGATAAGGTTGCATAAAATAGAGCAAAAGAAAAGAGAACTAAGAAAAGTCAAACAAGACTTTAACAGTGTATGCTTAGTAATATATAGATATACATATATACATATACATACATATGTATATATGTATACTTGCTTAACTGTGTCATGGAAATTAGTGAATGCGAAATTCCTCAAGTGACTTCGGCTAGAGGCAACCTTGAAAAGGCTCTGTGAAAACAACAATTGAAAATTCAACTGAACTCAATTCGATGTGTTTATATCAAATGGGGGGCGTCAAATCGAATTACGTGTCTTTCAATTCTTTTTAGTGGTCCGTACATTTTGTCATCTAATCGCTAAATTTTGAATTGGGGCCACGACGAGTGTGTTCTCTGGCACTAAGCCAATAATTTCGCAAATCTAGCTTAATTAGCCAACTCAAGTTGACAGATTAGCATAGAATTTGGACGGGCTTTCAGTCAGCTCTTGGCTTCGATGACGCTTCGCCAGCGATGGACAGTGTTCAGGAAGACGAGTCGAACCAACTACTAAATAGCTAGCAACTGTGTCAATACTTTGGTATTGCCTTGCCTCAGCCAAGGGGCGTTCGGGGCGAGGCACTGTGCACCATGCACAGTGTTCTCGGGTTCAGGTCTGTGACAAGCGACTCGCTAATTGGATTAGCTGCGCACCTTTCCAGCAAATAATAGAAAAAGTTGTTGCAATAAAATTCAAACAATTTCAGTGAAAAATCGAACGTGCAATGTTGTGAACGTCTTGTGGAACGCGTCGCTCGGCTAAAACTAACTAATTGCCTAACAAATATATTTGCTGCACCGGGTAACGCGAAAAATAAAAAAGAAATAATAATAAATAATAAATTAAATTTATATGCATACATTTGAATTTCGCGCGCCCGGAATCCAAATATTTTCAACAAATTCCCTCATTGCCCACTTGAAATGAATTTCAAGGAATTTTTTGTTAATGTGTAAATTGCCCAAACGTTTAAGTTAATTCAAAAATACCTTCAAGCATTTCAGTGCAAATAGAAAAGGAAAACTTAAAATTACCCAATTAAAATTACCCATATGTGTTTACAGTTCATAGGATATTTTTAAATGTATAATTTCCAAGGAAATATTTTTATAAATACCCTAGGGGTAATTTATATTTCCCTTAAATGACGTTAGGTTATTTCGTTTCGTACTCATAAAAGTATGCAACAGTAAATGTGAATTACTTCAGCCAATGCATGGGAATTTATATCTTCGGCATTAATTTTCGTTGCATACTTTTGTGCATAGTTGGTTTTAGAAATCCGTTGCAAATACTTGGGCAGCTAATGAAATGAAGTCGTCGACGCGACGCCGAAGCTTTAAAACGAAACCAATACAACCAAAAGCCAACTTGTATAATCCGCTCGTGCGACACCGACCCACTGCGTATGTAAGGAACGGCATCATCGGCGGCGGCAACGGGCCGGGCGCCGATGGCCTCTACCAGATTGATGATCGCGTCTATACGACCAGCAGAATGTTTATGCGTGATGGCTACATGTATCCACGCCAGCCCGGCCAGCCCATGGATCCGCGTTTCCCACTCGAACTGCACGAATTTCCAGAACAGCTGGGTGCCACCGGCCTGCAATTGGTGAGCACTCCCAAGGTGCACATTGCAGGCGAGTATTTGGCCAGCGAACAGCCGTTGGAAGCGGAGCAGGAGCCGCCGGCAGCGGCCATGCGGCGTTGCGCTCGCCAGGCCGCCGCGGCTGACATCAATCTGGTCAATCAGGCGTACTGGCTGGGCAAGCAGCGCACACGTTCCCGCTCCCGGTCCCGCAGCAACAGTCTGGGCAGCAAAAGCATTGCCAGCTGCATGGGCGGAGGCGGTAGCGGAGGGGGTGGGGCTGGCGGAGAGGGCACAGAGCCAGAACGCGAACGTAAAAGACCCTTTATACGCAACGTGGACGATTTGCTGCATGCGCTAGGCAAACGCGATGCCAGCGCCGATAACCAACTCGAGACGGCTTCAGTGCACTCCTCCACGCAGCAGCAGCAGCGGCGTCGCTTCAAAAAGGTGAGTGAATGAGCACGAGTGATCAATCAAATGGAGCAATGGAATTTGTCATGTCTTGCCAGCATTGCAGCATTTCCATTTACCTTAATTGCGATTCGAGTGTCGACTCAAATGTTGACACACTCGCCACGATTCAACTACTGCCCCATCACTCAGGCCGCTGTCCAGAGCGCAGCGAAGCCTAAACACCTTGCCAGCGCTCTCTCTCCTGGTTGAGCTCCCAGGGCGCGTCTGCGCAAAAATTAAAATTAATGATGTTCCAAATGTTGCCAGCGGCTCTTGACGAAATGGAAAAGAACACAGACCACAGGCCAGACAGTAGCTGCTAATTTAAGGCAGGCACACACACACACAACCCAGCACAACTGCTGCCAGGTGAACTCCTTGAGCCTAGCTGCAGCGCTGTTTGCTGTGGTTGCTTTGAGGCAACATTCATGGCCCTCCGCTGCGGTCAGCGCTCCATCAGCTCCAAAAATCAGCCCTTTTTCGACTTATTTATTTATGCAGCCGTTCGTTCCGGCCGCAGTTTCATTTATTCACTTCAACTCTTTTATCCATTCTTATTCTGCTCTTTTTTTCTCTCGTCCAACTCGTAGCATCATTAGCAAATCAGAAATACAATTTTTAGCCTTATTTTACGCCATTTTTTTCAGCTCGCTGCGGGCTGAATTTATGCGCTTCTGTTTCTCTAAATTGAAGAGTAATTTCAGCTTTTGAGGTTGAGAGATTGGTTTCCCTAATTGTTTTTTTTTCTTGACGTATAGCTTGTCCTGCCTTAAGCAGATATACGTTTCTACGTAATGATATTGCATTATTTGTTATTAAAAATAATGAATTAATATGGAATGCAAAAATCGTGCAATTTATGATTTGCAATTAATTTTTTATAATTATCGCGTCATTAATATTAAAAATTAAAATGAAAATAAAGTATGAATACAAATAATAAATTATGTAAATAATAAATAAAAATAAAACAAAATAAAAAAATAATAATAATATAAATAATTTAATAATTTAAATATCATCATCATGAAATCATATATACGAATATTGTATTTTTTAAAAAGATTAATTATGCATATAATAAATAAAAATAAAACAATTAAAAAAAATAATAATATAAATAATTTAATAATTTAAATATCATCATCAAATCATATATACGAATATTGTTTTTTTTATATACGAAAAAATATTTATCAAAATTAGGAAATGTCATTCAATAAATGATAATAAATATTATAAAAATAATCATAATAAAATAATTATTAATAGTTTAATCATTCAATTATTGTTATGCATGAATTATAATTGAACTGAATTAGCTCGATCCTAAATTTAAAATAAAATCTACTATATAGAGAGAAGGCAACGACATTTACCCATTTTACCTGTTGCTTAGGCCTACAACAAAATTCAACTGTGCTTCGAGCGGTCTAGGACCACTGTGCCAAATGACTCAACTTCCGTTGCGCAGAATTCCATTTAGAGTTATGCTCGAATCAACTCGAAATCAAATAAATGAAAAACGAATGAAGGAAACTTGCTAACTCATTCAATTCAGCAATCGCTGGGGCCAGAGACTTCAGGCTAGAGGCTAGAGGGTGCGCGCCCGCAGCTCGCCCTGTAAGCTCTTGGAATACGAGCAATGTATTGGAATTTAAGCCAACATGTGAAATGAATTTCTTGGCAGCATGCAGAACCCCGGCCTGGCCAGTGGGGCTTGACTTCGGTGGAAAACTGTGCGGCACAGCCGTGTGGGCAGACAACGACAGTTTTCCCTGTTCTATGCAAAACTCGCAATGCAGTTGAGCTCAGAGGCGGCCGAGACGCTGGGCAGGAGTGAGCGAACGAACACCTCTTCGCTGCAGTTGGTCGTAAATTGAATAAACAC